ATCAATAAATAAGTCATTCTGTGCTAAATAGACTAAGATGAAGAATACATTTGTTTTGACGGCAGTATGGATGCAGGAGCTTCAAAAATATTATTCTCTGCATCGGTGTAATAAAAACACCGATATATCGCAACAGTGGAAAATTCATTCTCCTCAATTTCCCATTCTAAGTTTGATGGCACGAGATCTCTTTAGCATACCGGCTACTTCAGTCCTGACGGAAAGATTATTCTCACGTGCTGCGGTCTTAACGGGTGAAAAACACATGTTTTTCTTTCTTGTTGAGATGTATGATGTGAGTATGTACCTATTAGGTACTCACTTTTCAACAAATAAGTTTATATTTGTTGTAATATTGTCTTCCTACCTCTACATTATACCTAGAAAGAAGGTAAAGGTGAATATTCCGTACTAGACTGAAACAAGATCATGTATGACGGAATTGCGATACATTCGCGAGACTTTCGTACGAGACGCGAAACAAGACGAAACTGGAGGCTGCGAGACGAGACTCGAGACAAGTCTTCATATTTCATCGGAGACTCCATGAAAGTCTTGTCTCGTTGGTCTCGTGTGAATCACTAATCATTTCACTTCCCGTCATATAATATTTCACGTATTGTTTACGTAAAGTGAGAAGTTACGAACACACTTCCGTCAGTTCAGAAAAGTGCCAAATCACATTTCAAAAACGATACATCAATAAAATACTTTGTATGTCATCAATTTCATTTCCGTTACTGACTCCATTGTGAAATTATTTCAAGAAAATCTCATCGTCAATGGAAAGTCAAATCTCAAGCAATGACAGCTCTGTCTTTGAGATCAGCATAACTTGAGTCGTTGAAAAATTGAAGTGTAAAACTTGCACCAAATCCTAATATTTCACTCAAATAATTGCAGAATTCGCCTACGGCTCATGCTGCAAACTTCATTCTCGTGGAAAAACACTATCATTCCTTGCTCGTACAATTATTTACTATTTCTTACGACTATAACACAAAATTGCTCTTATTTCACTGTATTCGATGGATCAATAATAAGGTACTTACTATGATATCAATTTCATTTCCGTAGCTGAAATCACAATGATTTCATTTTGTTATTTCTCTACAAAATCTTATCTTCCATGACATAGCAAATTCCAGGTGATGACAGCTCTGTCTGATAGATGAGCATCACCTAAGAGAAAACAAATTGTTACAAGCCGGATGGATGAATAATTCCGCTGTTATTTGTTACAGTTGTGGAAAAAGTATATTGAATTACTCGCACAAAATGTAGATTTTTTCACTCCTATGATCGTCCCGTTAGAAATGACTATCATTCCGTGTTCATTGAACAATATTTCTAAGTCTTCACCGCGAAATTGCTCTTGTTTTACTGTGTTCGATGAAACAATGAGGAACTCTGTATGTCATCAATTCCATTTCCGTAAAACAATGACTTCATTGTGTTATCATTCCACAATGAATGTCAACTTCCATGAAATGTCAAATTTCACGCATAGCCCGTTATGCTTGGAAGCAAATCAGATTGCCACAAGCCAAAAAAAATTGAAGATTCAGCTGGTACCTCTGTTTCAGCTGTAGAATGCGTATGGTGTGTAATTCGCACGAAATGTTAATTTTCCACTCGTATGATTTTGCAGCAATCATCCACGGCTCATGCGGCAAACTCCATTCTAGTGGAAAATGACTTTCATTTCGTACTCGTCAAACAAAATACTATTGCCCTCTACGTTTTTCTGCACATATTCGAGTTATATTCCAGAAAGCGTAGATTCGATCTGAGAAAGGGTCAATTGTATCTCAGAATAAGGGCTGAGCGATATTATTTGAGTTCGATATATTGATATGACAATGAATATCGATATATCGATAGTTATTAATATATAGAGCAAAAAATATATGAAGTTAACGATATATCGATATATCGATAGTTTGAAATTCGATTGTTATCGATATATCGATATTTTCTGAATTATACTTCGATATTTGTGGAATTATTCAATCTGTTCAAGTGGAGGTTGCACAGCATGGGGATCTTGGAAACAGGGGGAGATACGAAGTTGGTTGAATAGGGAAAAAGTTGCGCATTCGCAAGCTCATACCAAGAGCCTCAAGCAATATTCAAAATTGTTTCCAGTTCTACAGTTATATCAAAAAACGTGAATTTCTGGAATCACAATCCAATAGTTTTTTCCGTTATTATCACAGATACACAAAAACTGAGAATATGTTCTCATGACAACGTTTGATGACGTTCAAAGTGATGTTACCGATTAACTCATGCGACGTTTCGTATTCTCAGAACCATCATCAACTCCTCCCTTTTGAATACGATCCTCAAAATTTTTTCACAGAGTCTGGAAGTTTTTGGAACTTATGCCCATTCAGTGTCAGATATTGATGTATTAATTATTCAATACTCGAAAGAGAATTGAAAATATTTCACTGAATTATTCAATGCAGCGTTTCAATTTGTTAATGAAGTCTTACACGAATTATTTCATGAACTCGACTCTGGCAAGACCAACTGAAACATTTATAACAAATGATCAAAATGATACTCATTATTTTCTGAACAAAGATATCCTTTTCTCACAGTTGCCTCTGAGGCATTCTTATAAGCATTTCTGGGTTTATACTATTGAATGCTTCGATGACACTGTCCCTTATTTCCTCTGTAATATCAAAGTTATTAGCGTGAACAAAATTGTTGATATATCTCCAAAGGAACGAATCCAGCGATGTCTAATCAGGCGACCGCGCCGGCCAAAGGACTATAGAATAAGCACCAATCCATTTTTGAAGCGCCATCTTGTTGAAACCAACTTCCACAATCGGAAAATCATCCAGAGCTTCCTCGAGATGATTCTCAAGCCAATTTCTATAACGATCGGGAGTCGATGTTTCCTGGTAATCAAAAGGACCAATGATTCATGTACCAAATATTGCAATCCACATATTGAAGCCGGAATTTGGTATTGACGTCTCGCTGTCTTTCATGATTGTTCATTTTCTCGTGACCAATAATGTATATCCTTTTTTTTTCAAGATACCCTGATGAGTTATCATGCTTTCATCAGTCTAGATGATTTTGCGAGGGTGATTTTCAAAATTTCACCATTTCCTGGTATACCACTAACAAATTGTCCTGCGCCTTTTGTCATCGCCTGGTCTTAGCGCTTGAAAAACTCTGGAACCAGTTGATGGGGTATTAGTGTGTTGACTAATTCTCCTTCAAATGAAGTGGAATTGATGGCATTCAGGATTTTGAAATAGCTTTGATGAAGGCTGAAAAATATGCCGAAACACATGCAAACTACCTTGTACAATACATGATCGAATGAGAATGCAGAAAGCACTCATTATCTGTGAAAAAATTATCAAGACCGTGTTCAAAAACCAAAAGTTAATGATGGTTTTACAAACAATTAATGTTTCCAATTCAATTAATGACCCCATAACTATTCTTATCGAAATCTCATAGTTGAAGACCATCAGAGTTGAATAAACTGAGTTTTATCTCCTGCAATCAGTTGATGCATAGAGTCAGATTTTTTTGAGGATGATCTATATGAGAATGTATGAGTAATACACCTAACAAGTGCAAAGAGTAGTACTCTTCCACAAGCAAATCGTCAAGGGTGGAGGCGACGTTTTCTGCACTCCTAGGAGTGTTCTTGTGTACATTATCAATGGAAGGAAAAATCAGAATCTTATGATGATGCTACAGAATGACACTTGAGACAGATTGTTAACATGATCATTTAGTTAGTCCCAAATATCCTCATTTTCAAAAATACAAAAATCGGGCGGAAAACTGAAAAGCGAGCAGAGAACTAAAATTGTACGAAAATGTACAACTTCCAAAACACTTTTCCGCACGCTGATATGGCAAAAATCATAACACAAACCACGTAGAACTGTCTTAATCAGTTATGACTTCTCAAAATCGAAATAACTTCCACGATCACCCTGCAAACAAAATGTTGCATGTTGCATGTGCGTATTCAAATCTACGAATCTTCTTCAAGGCATTGAATATACAGTGCAACCGTAGTGATATTAGTTTATTGTTGATCAATCATTGTATTCATATATGTAGCAGTATATGGAAACCATCCGTGATACCGACAACTCCCATATTATGTTAGCCATCATTTCATCCTGGAGAACGATTTCTGAAACTCAATTGACTATTCTGAAATACTATTGACGCTTCCTTGAATACAAGTAAAAAAGTATAGTAGTCCATATATGAGCGAAGTGAGATTCCCGAATCCTCTTGGGAATATACGTTAATAACATTGTAAAAATCTTTTTTTAGTGATGTCAGCAGTCAGTGCTCAAGGTGAAGCAGCAGCCAGAATGAGCAACTGTGAGAGCATCCTCAAGTACACAAGGTACGCCTTGCTGATAGCTGGAGCATTTGATATACAGGACGGAACGAACTCATCCCTTCTATACAAGATTTGGTCTTTTTTATCACAAGGCTACTATGCGCTATTCACCATATCGCTCATCGTCGGTCTCAAAGATGTACTAATGGGTGACTCTAATGATCCAACATTCAGCCTCAACGTGTCAGCTGTTCTCATGGCCAACCTCATGATGATGAAAGTAGTGTTGTCATACACCAGAGGAATTCGGGATAGATTGAAAGAAGTGTACCAGTTTGAGAACGCCATCACCAACGATGACTTGGAGTGTACGCGAATATACAATAGTTATTCCCGCTACAACTACCAGATAATGTTTGCATCGTTCTCTGTGTATCTCGCTACTGGCTTATTGTTCATGTGGAACAATTTCAACAATTGGAAGCACATGAATTTTGAAGATTCAACGCAAAGCAAGACATTATTCTACCGTGGTTGGTTTCCTTTCGATCTGAGGAATCCAACTTACTTCAACGTTGCCTACTTCTTTCAATTCTTCGTAGGCATATGGACTCCCTGGTTCATGTTGTCGTTCGATTCCATATTCATTTCGATGTTGAACTTTGCTACTGCAAGAGTTGGCATCCTGGGATACAAGTTCGAAAATTTTGAGATGTACAGTAACGGAAGGAGTGAATCAACATTCAATTGTCTGCGAACTATTGTTTTGGAACACCAGAAGCTAATCAAGTGAGTAAATATTATAGAGATAGAAACCTTTAGCCTCCAATGTATCTCAATTTGGGCTGATCATGGGATGATGATGAAAGTTGTACGATATTCAATTATCTACAAAGTGCATATATGTACGTTTGTTTCAACTCACCCTACGAGGAGCATATTATTTCTCTTGACGTCTTTCGAAAATGGAGGAATGGTCGTTATTGATAGAACCTTTCGAGGGATTGGATGGGAATTCATTAAGTAAATTCAGCCGTGATAGTGATTTTTAAGAGATACACCACAGATCCTCCGGGACCGATTGTGCTGAGAAAACAAAGCGAATCCCTCATCAGACGTTGTGTCTGACATAAGATCTGCCAACATCACACCTCAAAATAAGTTCCTAGCCAACGGGAACGATCGATTCGTGAAGCTACTCTCCAGTTAAAGGCAACCGTCAAACATAGCAACTAGAAATGCTAACACGTTCAAAGTTGAATGTGAAAACTTCACAAACGATAAGATTTCCACAAAATTCTCAATCACACGACATGTTCCGCTATCACAGTAGCTTCCTTAGGTGGAATGCTGGTACGATGAACTTAAATAACCTTGGCTTGCTTATATAACCTACTTCCTCAACCTGAAGAATGAGTTACTTGTGGACAGATTCATTAAAACTCCATTTTGGGAAATTAGGCACAATATTCACATCGAAATACGGTGTACTGGATGAACTTGAAGGGGTTGATATCGAATACATAATATAACGTACTAAGAGAAAAAATCCAACAGTGGTGAACTATTGGGGTCTAATTGATCGTTGAGTGAAATGTCAGAATTTTCTAGTTCGTTGTTTCCTAATGATTTTAAATGATTGAGTTCCATACTTCTAGTTTCTACGTGTAGAATTTCGAAACTATCATCAAAACCATTGTTTTCTTCTTATATATTGTTGACGAATATTAAATTTGTTTTCTCTTTCAGAAAATTCATCTTATCATCATGAATGCGCTGATTAAACCTATTACCTGTTTGACCGATTATACCTAAGGAACCATCTCAATAGGGTTGAAAACACTGTTATATGGGGGCGAACGGAAGACAGTATGGTCGTGTACTCCAAAGGGTTCATCCACTGCATATTCCTCAGGGAAATCTTGTTTTCTGATTATTCCTAGTGATTCTTACTTCAGTTCTTCAGGAGATATTCCTATGCCTTTTTCTTCCATGAATCGAATAATATCAGCCTTTCTTGTGTTAGTGCTCGGTTTTTTTGTTGACGTAAATGGTATGACGCATTATCCATAACGATGACGGGATTTGCTGAAATATTTGGTATAACTGCTGCTCTGTCCATTCCTCAAATTATTCTGCCGTATATCCTCGAGATAATCGGCAGAGAATTGTTTGATATTTTTGGCAGACAATAACAATGCATTGTCAACTAATCCATTCTCATTGCTTCACAAAAATCAATTTGCCTATCAATCAGGCAAATCTACAGAGACCGCCTTACATAGTCTGGTGGAAAAGATTGAAAAGGCACAGGTAGATAAAGAAATTCCTCTGTGTGCTTTCATCGACATAAAGAGAGCGTTCGATGACACTTCCTATGAATCGATAGAGCAAGCCACAACCATCAAGGGGCTCGAAATCCTAACAACAGGCTGGATACAATCCATGCTCAGGAGTAGAAGAATGGAATCTACACTGAGAAGCAGCTTGGTAACTGCACAGGCCACTAGAGGTTGCCCCCAAGGAGGGGTACTGTCTCCTCTTTTATGGTCCATAGTTGTCGATAACCTACTCAACAAACTAAGCACCGCTGGCTTCGATATTCAAGGCTATGCGGATGACATTGTCATAATAATAAGAGGCAAGCATGATAGGATTTCATCAAATCTAATGCAGACTGCACTCAACTTGCTGAAAGACTGATGCTTTCAGGAGGGCTAGAATGTCATCCCAAGCAAAATGGTTATTGTTCCATTCACCAAAAGAAGGAAGATCAAGTTGAAGAAACCCATTATGGATGGGACGCCTATCAATTTCTCCGGAGAGGTCAAATATCTTGGAGTAATCCTAGACAAGAAACTCACGTGGAACCAAGACTTGACCAAAATCGTCAATAGGGCAATTTCAGCTCTCTGGATATGCCGAAAGATGTTTGGCCGAACGTGGGGTCTTGAACCAAATATGATCTACTGGTCTTATCTCACGGTGGTCGGACCCATGGTCACATACGCTTCTCTAGTGTGGTGAACCAAAAGTAAGGAAAAAAACAGCTCAACTTAAGCTGCAAAAAATCCAGAGACTCGCGTGTCTTGTGATCACAGGGGCTATGCGTACGTGCCCTACTGCAGCAATGGAAGCTATGCTTGACCTACTACCCTTGCATATTTTCATCAAGAGGACTGCAGCTCTCAGTACATACAGACTGAACTCCACTGAATTGGCCAGACCAGGTGATGTCACTGGTCACATGGTCATTCTACAAGAAGTACAAATGGAATATGCAATCAAATCATCGGACATAATGCCAGCCAGGCTCAGTTTCGATCATACCTTTGGAGTGGTTATGAAAAGCCGCCCTAGGTACGGTTTCGCTGAGCCTCAGCTGGACAGAGGGTCCCTTGTTTGGTACACCGATGGATCGAAAATGGAAGAAGGGGTAGGCGCGGGTGTATATGGACCTGGATGTAGGCTATTTGAAGCCTTAGGTCACTCACCCACTATCTTCCAAGCTGAAATACATGCCATCAACCTTCGCACCCAAAGGTGCCTGAGCAAAGGCCTGAGGGGTGCCAACATATATATCTGCTCAAACAGCCAAGCCGCATTAAAAGCCCTGAAATCATTTATTTTCACACCAAAGATTACATGCAACTGGGAAAGGGCAACAAAGTCACACTTATGTGGGTTTCAGGGCATGAAGGAATCAAAGGAAATGAGGCAGCTGATCGCCTTGCAAGAAAAGATGCAGCATCTGCACTTTCTGGTCCTGAGCTTTTTGTGGGATGAGCAGATGTCACCTGAAGGGAGAACTCGGGAGATGGGGAGGAATTGAAGAATCCTCCTACTGGAGAGCAACTCCAGGTCAATGCCAAGGGAAAAGGTTCATCAACCATTCGCAGAATTGAGCCAGAGAGCTACTCAGCCTCAGCAAACCAGAGCTAAAGCTTATCACAGGCTTTCTCACAGGACACGGCTCTCTGAGGTATATACCACCTCAAAAAGATGGGTCTGTCGGAGACTGACACTTGCCGCTTTTGTAACAATGCGACCGAAACCGCGGAACACATACTTTGCTCATGTGAAGTATTAGTCCATCAAAGGCTGAACCACCTAGAACAGGTCTATCTAACCCCTGCTGAAGTGGAAAAGTCAACCGTCAGGAAAATCGTAGGCTCCATCAGAAGTTTGGGGTAACCGTGTGGTGGTCGGATTAGGATAACCCCACGGTAAGTCCTGCCTGCCGTAGGAGGCGACTGAAAGGACGCCAATAGGTGGAAGGTGGTTAACGCCATCGCCCGGTGCGATGCCACCACATCAACCATAGGCACTGTGAAATGGGTATACTTACCCGTGTTTCAGTAGCTGGTTGATGTTCCGGCCAACCCAACCCAACACAATTTCCTTTTCCTTTCACGCCAATCTCCCTCCTCTATACATAATAAGCGATGATGAGTTCTCCTCAAGTAAAATTATCCAGAAGTAAAAGACCTCTCCATTCGGATTTCCGGGCGAGAGGTGCTAGAGGGGGTCCACCATTGACTGAAAAAGTCCTCAAGATATACCTATGTTACATCCGAGGTCTAAGTAAGAACATCAACGAAGTCCATCGACACCTTCAAATTGGAAAGCCAGACATATTAGCTCTTACTGAGACACAGGTCAATTCATCAAATAATACGACCTTTCTGCTCTGTCCTGGGTACGAACTCCACAAACGTTTCAGATTCGAGGGAGGTCTCTGCCTTTACTCTTAAGCGAATCTCTCATGTCAACGAGAAAAAACCTTGGAACCAAATAAGTTTGATGTCATGTGGTTTAAGCTCGATAGCCAGAAACAGACCAAATACCTTTGTTGTCTCTACTCATCACCAAATGATCGATCCTATAAAGAGCTCTTGGAATTCTTGTCTCTGAAGCTTGACCAAATTCAACAGAACCATCGAGCAGCAGAAATCATCATCATGGGCGATTTCAATGTACACAACACTGCTTGGCTCGTACACTCTAACAGAACGGATAAAGCTGGGCGACAAGCCGAAGCTTTCACCATCACTCACGGCTAAGAGCAGCTTATCAAAGAATCCACACGAATTCCCGATGCCAATAACCATTCAGGTGACTTATTCCTCACTAATAATATCATCACCCTACACCATAGATGTACGAGCTCTACTTGGCAATTCTGATCACACACTCATCTCCACAACCTGCCCATTTTTCATTCCATCAACTGATCTGGCACCCTCACGTCGTATATGGCATTACAATTCAGGAGATTGGGACGGTCTTCGCATGTTTTTCTCCGAGTTCCCTTGGTATAGAGTATGCTTTGACTCTGAGTACCACAGTGTGCTGCGGAAATATTCGAGATCATCATGCTCGGAATGGACACATACATACTAGACTGTTGGCCCGTGACACAGGGTTTATCGATGTTCTAAGTCGGTATGCCATTTAAGGGACCCACTCACTTAGTCCAAGTTAACTGGAAGGAGTGCCTCGGAGAGTCGCAACCCAGTCCTTGCCCCGGCCCTGACCTCACCTTTCGGTTGGAAAAAACTTCGAAATTTTGTATAAGGAGAAGCTCGGCAATGAAGTGCAATGATCTTATCTCACGAAAATCGGGGCGCTTACTGGTTTGCATACGCCTAGGTCACTCCCCAAGGGCGGCATACGAACCGGAAGTGGCAATTTCTCAGTGTTATAGTCGATGATCGAAGAATGTATGCCCTTTGGCGAAACAATGAATTGGGGCCCATTAATCAATTTTCCGACTTTTGCATACGATT